TCTGTTCTCGAACTATTTTCGATGTCGGACGTTGATCGCTACTCTGTGGACGACGAAAGTGCTGGTCAGCGAGACAGTCTGTTTTCATCCCCCGAGCCTGAAGGGTCCGCGGTGGAGAGTGACACAAGTGTTTACTCTAATGTTGACAAGCGTGGCGAGGCTTCAACTCTACAACGCTTGGACAATTGCAATCCCTCAGGTCGGGGAAAAGATCAAGGTAAAGAGGCTGCACCAATCCCCCGCCCTAGCTGGTTACTTAGTAAGCTGATATAAGATGTAGCCATCCTCTTCGAGGACGATGTATCGGATGGCGACGCTGCGAATTGGGTTGCAATCCAAAATGAAATGCTCGAGTCTCAGATTGGCAATTCTGCCTTGAGAGTTCGACCATCTCCAACCGATCGAGAAGTAGAAGACGATGTGGGACCATGCGTAGAGAGCGACAACAGAGAGGGAGACGATGACATGTACCATGCCACAACAGCACAATACCATCGCCAACGCAGTCGCAACGAAATGGAAGATTCCACCCACAAAGCGTCTCTCCCCAACCGCTACTGTTGGACTGGTGCCACAAGAGTGGTTGGCATAGTTCAACAGTCCTCGTTAAATGATTCTCGCAGAAATTCGCCTAAAACTGCTAGTCCCACCTTTCCGTCGTCTAGAAAGAGGCGCGGTGCCGCATTGCACGAGTCACCGTCTAGGGGGCTGGATGTCAGTATCGACCAGATCCCTTGTCGGAAGAAGGTTTCGCTATCACGATCAACTCAAAACCATCGCGCCACTCAGAAGGGACGGATTCTGACTGGCATGAAATCTCGACCGGACCTTCCACTACCAGGAGCCAGGCCGCGGTCTCTGTCATGCGAGACACCGCCGAGTCCATCCGAGGCGCGGCAAGATGTTGAGGAGGAGGTCGTATGGGAATACGGCCGTCTTCTCGACTACAACATTGTTAATGGAAAACCTTTGGTGCTGGTGCCCTGGATCCCGACGTGGGAACCGCCTGATGAGTACCCACCGGAGGAAGTGGACAGGGTAAGACGCACCTCCCAGAGACAGATGCAACGAGGAAGGCCGCGTTCCAAGCAGATTATGTAACTGCGGTCGCAGCGAATAGGAAAGTGTTCACTTTTTTGCGCTGCATCCTAATGGTGCTCAAGCGTGTGTGAAGCGATGATCTTTAGATTTGAAATCATACTGAGACGCCCTTCACTTCCTTCGTGGCCAAGTTCGAGTTCCTGATGAATAACTTTGCCACCAGCAGACCAGCAGACATGGTCATGCATACGGGTGTTCACGGGGCTGTGATAAAGGCTGTGGCTGCCATAGACGCTTCCATTTGTGTTGGAAGCTTGCCAACAGAAGGCTACATTCGGTTTGTCACCCTGATCACACGAATGTGAAAGAGAGACTGGACGAGGGAGTCAAACCAAAACCCTCTCACGCAACCAACTAACTCCCTCCTGGCATCGTAATTGCACCACGAGGATGGAGTTTAAAGAAATTAGATGGAATCCTCGGGAATGTCGCAGTGCTATGTTGGCAGTGATAGGCTTGAGTCAACCAGAAGAGATCGGCGTTGCTTGTCTATTGATCAAGAAGTAAGAGGATCACTGTAAACGCAAGGTATCTGTATCGATTTTGTTTTGATCAAACCAAAGCCCTTGCCGGACGTGGCAAATATTCCCGGGCTTGCTTGCTTCTCGAACCAGAGACGTCAACTATTGAGACATGATTAGGCGAAAGGCAGGTATTGCCATTTTCTAACTGCATTTGAGGTTCACATGCTTGTGCCGAGATATGTCACAGCAGCTGTTGAACGAGATACCCAACAACCCGACCAACTGCGTGACACATTTATGGGTGCTGACTAAGCCATAGCTAAGGGTCACGTTATGGTGACCTGATTTTGTCTGAGTTTTACTGCTGCATACTACAAGTTTATAGCTTCTAAATAACCTCCATCAAACAGCAAGAACCCGAACCTCTCACTGTACCTTCAGGTCCTGCCGCCTAAGTAGATCTTAGCTCCTCAATCAGCAGCGCTTCGTCAGCAACCGACCAGCCAATGGGGATGTTCACGTTCATCTCGATGTCCTTGATATCAATATCCTCTCCACGGGAATTGAGCACCAAAAGCAATTGCCGGAAAATTCTCCACTCCTTGTAAGCTGAGAGTGAACTGGCAGAAAGACACAGAAGGTAGGCCATGGCTTTTCGTATCCGAGGCTTCATTAAAACGGTTGAGTTGGCACCATGTTCCTTGTTAAAGCAGAGCCGCATTGTGAAGACCGATAGAGCTTGGCCAAGATAGTACAGGAGATCCCAACACGGCAGAAGCTGATACGCCTCGTGTGCAGTTGGATCCTCCGGCAAAACATCCATCAACGATGCCGCCGCATAAACACAGTTTGTCGCATTCCAGAAAGTAATCTCCTTTGAAGACGCTGATCCGCTGGGAAGTTGAGGATGACACAAGCATTGTCTAAACAAGATCATTTGGATGCTGTAGTAATATAACGTCAAATCAATTTTCGCACGAGGATCGCCACCCAAGGCCAGGTTGCTTGGAAACTTCATGCTGACGGTCAGATTCTCTTTCCACTCAAGTAGCTGATTGTGCCATCGACCGATTTTTTCCTGCGTCATTGCCCAAGTATTTGACGGACATGGCAGATACAGCTCTGTCGTGATCCCGTTCTTGATCACAGAAAGACGGGCTCTGCTGCTCAGGTACTGTCGAGGTGCACCATAGCCGATGTATTGAATGTCCTGCCAGGCCAACCGGTCTCCACGCAT